CAGTTAAGAGTTAATCACATTAGCGTGGGACAGGAATCACACGTTGACCAGACAAGTTAGGTTTTTACAACAATCCAGCAAATCTACTGATATCAGATTTCATTTGCAGATTTTTAAACAAACTAAATTCCAAACCCTAAACTGCCATGGTAGAATCTGAACCAATGCTTTTGTAGTCTAGGTTTTATAAGCCATTACACTACACCACCATAATCTTTTTGTGTCATTATGATCAATACTTCAAGCCTGTTCTGCTGATCAACTCATCATTATCTACACCAAAAATCTACATCTCTCTCTTAGAACAATCTAGCTGCTTTGATAATCTTCAAAAACTATGTCTTGCAAAAAATCTGAGTTTTGAAGTTTTCAGTTAACATCACCTCAACAGATTTTTGGGAAAGAGTTTTCCAGATTTTCTCTATCTTTGTGTGGATAAGTGTTTTTGAATGTCCTCCGAATGACAGTTTTGGTTTGCTCCTTTTCCTGAATGCTTCCACTAGGTAATAGCGTAGATAGAAAGATACTGTTAAATCCATTTATCATCTGAAACACTTCAATCACAATATTCATTAATACTCTACATTTAAGGAATGCAAACATAGTCTATGCAATTCATAACTCACAATTTAGCCTTTCAGCTGTGCTTGTGTTCTGCTAAATCTGTGCTGCACTCTATCTAGGGCCTTTTTGTGAGGCAATCCCTAGAACTGAATGGACAACTCCAGATCTGGTATAACTAGAGCCCTGCAATGATGTAATATGACTTACGTCCCATTATATTCCAGTTCACTTGAAATATTGTCAAACATTGTGTTAACCCTTTAAGTTATTTTTTTCCTTATTGTTCTCTAGCATTTAGCAATTTGTGTACATGGACCCTTCAGCCTTCCTGTATGTCCACATTTTCTAGATTCTCATAATGGAGAATGATCTGATCCATCAAATCATTGGGAAACACTCAACTAATATGGCATCAACATTTTAACTATGCACTTGAAATAAAATTGGATCTTTCGATTTTGCTAACCTTGTTATCACTATTTGTTTCCCATTCTTTTTCTATCAGTACTACTTTTACTTTTTCCTAACTCACCATTTCCAGAAAAGAAAGTGAAGGGAATTATTTAGTGAATGATGATGATCATCATGAAGTTTCCCAGCAAATTGATCATTTCGACAAAACTGTGACAAAAAAAAGATGAAATTCAAGCAACCTAATTTCAACCCTGTTTTAGAAAAAAAAATCACCCCTATGCTTTGGACAGGGACGAAACTTACATCTGTGATCTTCTGACACTTTATGTCAGTTTCAGAATTTCCAGTTTGCGGGCTTCAGCTACATCTTCTTCACCATGGACGTGAGAACCCTTTACCTGTCCATCCCCCATCAGGATGGTCTCAGGGCTCTCTGCTTCTTCCTGGAGAGAAGGCCTGAACCGTCACCAATCCACCACCACCCTCCTCCGCCTGGCTTAGCTTGTTCTCACTTTGAACGACTTCTCCTTTAACTCCTTTCATTTTCTTCACATTAGACAGCATCGGCCACAGTTATGCCTGTCTCTTTGTGGCGTATGTGGAACATTCCTTGTTCCAATCTTACTCCGGTTGCCACCCACATTGCTTTCTCTAGTAAATCAATGACATCATCAGTGCTGCTTCCCTTTCTTGTCCGGATTTGGAATAGTTTACTAATTTCGCTTCTAACTTCCGCCCCACTCTCACCTTCACCTGGTCCATCGCTGGCTCTCCTTTCCCTTTCTTGACATCTCTGTTTCCATTCTGGATATAGTCTGGTCACCAATATCCATTACAAACACACTGACTCCCACAGTTCCCTTGACTATAAATCCTTGCATCCTGCTTCCTGCAAATACTCTATTCCATTCTCCTAGTTCCTTCATCTCCATTACATCTGTTGAGATGATGCCAGTTTCTACAAGGGGGCCTCCAAAATGTCCACCTTCTTCCTTTACCGAGAATTCCTACTACTGTGGTTGACAGGGCCCTCAGTTGTGTCTGACCCATCTCCTGCACTTTGGCCCTCAACCCCTCTACCCTCCCACAATGATCCCCCTGAAACTCATTTACCAAATTGCACCAGCATCCACATCCAAAGGATCATTAGCTGCCATTTCTGCCATCTCCAGTGGGATGTCACCGCCAAAGATGCATTTCCCTCCCGTTCCTTCTCAGCATTCTGCAAGGACTGTTTCCTCCAGAACACCCTAGTCCACTCCTCCTTCATTTACACCATGTCCCCACACCCACATAGCACCTTTCTCTGCAATTGCAAAAGGTGTAACACCTGCCCATTTACTTCTTTCCTCCTCACTATTCAAGGCCCCAGACACACCTTTCCGGTGAAGCAGTGATTTACCGGCACTTCACTCAATCTAGTCTACTGTATTCGCTGCTCACAATGTGGTCTGCTCCACACCGGCGTGACAAAATGGAGACTGGTGACTGGGTGATGTTGTGTCTGCAAAAATGACGCTGAGCTTCTTGTTGCACTTTGACAAAGCACCCTGTTCCCTGGCCAACATCTCTGTCTCTGGCTTGCTGCAGTGTTCCAGTGGACTCAGCGCAAGCTGCAAGAACAGCATCTCAGTTTCTGCTTGGGCACCTTGCAGCCTTCAGGACTCAAAATTGAATTAAATAATTTTAGAGTCTGAATACCTTCTCCGATGTCCTTAGTCTGACCCCCACACACTAGACCTTGTCATCACATGAGCTGCTACCACAACCAACTTTTAGTCATCCACTAATAATCCCCATTAGCAGCTATTGATTCCCTCAGGCTGACCTTTACCCATTCCTTTGCCTGTTTTTCTCTCTTTCTTTCTCCAGGTTCCAACTCCACTCACCGTTTACTCCTCCCCTTTCTCCTACCCTATCTTCAGCATATATACCAACCTTTTCCTAGCTATAATCAGTTCTGAAGAAGGGTCACTGAACACAAAATGTTGACTCTGTTTTCTCTCCACAGATGCTGCCAGACCTGCTGAATTTCTCCATCAATTTCTGTTTGTATTGGAGTAGTACAACCTGTAAGTGATTTGGATTAGGTGATAAAGTGTTTGGAAAGTGGGGCCGAATTACTAGTAAGGGGGGTCACAAACAATAGGTTCGGTCTTCTCAAATCAGAGCTAGATAAAATTACAATTTACTTAGCTGAAATTAGAGAAACTCATATTTACATTCAATGCATTTTATAAACCATCATGTTGACAGAGCATGTATTTCAGACTACAATACACAGTGCTGTGGAAATTATGGGAATGTGGCTTTTTGCAGCATGTGTCCTCTAACTGTAATTATTTTTATGCTACAAAATGTTAGGAATGTGAGCTGAAAACAGTATGACATGGGCAATAGGGCACCTAGGACCTCTATAAACTATGGGTCAATAGTTTATCCCCTTAACCAATTAAATTTAAGTACAGAAGAAGAAATACAGTATACAACAGAGAAGGAAATAGGTCCGTTGGAGCCTGTTCATAGTTTCACTTTAAAGAACCCAAATCTGCCTGCAGAGCAACTGATTGCTGTTGGGAAAGTGGAAACAGGAGACTTGATATTATTTTTGCCTGTAGCAGCATGGCTACTCAGTAGCAATTGAAAAGCAATACAGAACTTTATTTTCATCAAGACTTTAAAATACTTCTTGAAACTATAATAGCTAGGCTGATAGAACTCTTAAATTGCAATACAATGAATGGTTCTACATTAAACTTTGCTTTCCATTGTCACCCCTCATCCACAGAGTTTGAGCTTATCACAGTGTCAGTGACCTAAACACTTAGTGGAGATAAACATTGTTGCAACTTTTTATATCTCAGGTCAAAACAAAGTTTTGAGAAGGGAGAAATATTACAGTGGGGATTCCAAATTCTTTTCCAGCACCCTGATAATTAATGAACTTATTTCTGTCATCCCAGATGACTGAGGTGAGGGTCACCATCTGAGTGTTTTGTGAGCCAGGCTCATGGTTATTGCGGAGTGGGAAGGTTTACCACACGGGATGATTGCAGCTTTTAAGATAAGATGAAATAAACAATTGAAACAGAGTAAATAACAGGATAACGGTGACACAGAGAAGCAGTGAGCTCCGTTCTAAACTGTTCTAGCAAACAGCTAGCACAGATACATCAAATCAGATGACCTCTTTCTATGCTATATATGCTATAGTTAAATTGAAACTAAATAAAAATAAACAGATATTTTACTGATAGTAGGAACTGCAGATGCTGGAGAATCTGAGATAACAAGGTGTAGAGCTGAGCAGGCCAGGCAGCATCAGAGGAGCAGGAAGGCTGCCGTTTCGGGCCTAGACCCTTCTTCAGAAATATTTTACTAACATGGCATCGGACAGAGCCTATGTCAGCCACGGCAGTAATCCAGAACATATGGGGACAATTTGTACTCTCCATAGTGAATTTTTGAAGGTAGATAATAAAGAAGGCTTTCCTGATTTGTTAACAAACGGTGAAGAGTAAACCCTTCTCCAGGCAGGGATATTATGAAACAGAAGACTTCAGTTAAGAACACAAATTCTAAATAACTCTTCTTTTTTGAAATATAACTGTACAGATGAGTGCTACCTTGTTTATTTTTTTAAACAAACTGCTTGGGGATGCCATGATACATCTCTGGAGCAGGTGGAACTTAAACCGGGCCTCCTGGTTCAGAGGCAGGAACATTACCACTGAACCACAAGAACCCCTTATGAGTCCTGCCATATAATTATTCAGTTAAATATATACAGGTCATTATAAATGTGGCTGTTGAGGGCAATTTTCTTTCTTATATTTCAACATTTCAACATCATTTTTGGAGAAATTTACATTTGATGTTGCGATGTGCAGTTTTAGGAAAAGAATTTATAATTCCACACGTATCATGTTAAGAGTTATTACTTTTAAAGCATAAAGAAATAGTGTAATCCTATATGACATCTTCAGAGTTGTCCAGAGGAATTTATCTGCATATGTACCCACCCATGCACCTCTTCCACTAGGTTCTGAAGGCTGCTGGGATTGCGAATCACTTTATCCAAGAAACTAACAATTTCTGTGAACTTTGGCCTGTGATTTCGTTCTTTTTGCCAACAATGAAGCATGAGCTGATGAAGAGTGCCTGGGCAGCCCATTGGAGAAGGGAGTCGATAACCTTCTTCTATTGATAAAATAACCTGGAAGATGAGGAGATGAAAGGGGGAGAATGTTACTTCAGAGTTGTAGTTCTATTACATGACCATTTAATTTTAATAAACTCAGAGAGAAAAACAAAGCTAGTTTGTTTTCATTATCATATACAATTGAAGCTTTAAAACTGATTATAAAGAGTTGGGTGAGGAAACATAGAATAAAGTTCTGTTACAATCAATTCTCATGGGATACCTGAGGGTGTTAGTGAACAGTGTTAGTGTCCGTACCTTTGTATCAGGAGCCTTTGGTTCAAATCCCACCTGCTCTGAGCAGGTTGATTAGAAAGTATCTAAAATTAATTGCTGATACAGCAGACTTAGCATTACAGTTGCAAGTGTCTACCACAAAAGTAGTGTCTAGTTATCTGAAAAACCGGTTGTGACCAGGTGAGGAGGGGTGAATTGGCTTCCATCAAAGATTTTAAATTCTTTACAGGACACAGTTATATCACACTTCAATTGAAATGTAGTTTGCTACATTTAAGAACAAATTACAAGAATTTCTCGAATGAAAGAAAGAGGAATTTTGTTACTTACGAACCTCAAGAAAAATAACTAGATAAGTCATTAAACATAGAGAGCAGGGGGACTGTCTAGCTTAAAAAGGGAGATAAAGGATCTGCAGTCCATAATGTCCTAAGAGTCTTTTGAAAGGCAGACATCATGTCTTGTATCCTCAGCAGTTGCAAAATCTGTAGATACCTTTGAATGGTGAACGAGTATTTCTCCAATTTGCTATATCACCAGATGCTGCCTTAGAGAAGTAAACACAGGGATATAGAGAGAGGAAGAAGACAACGCCTTCCAGTTCTGCTGTTATAAAACATTCTTCTTTACGTGCTACTAAAAAGCAGTTAGCTATACCTATCCCCTCCTCCCACCTCAAGCCGCACCTCCATCTCCTACCGACCAACCTCATCCCGCCCCCTTGACCTGTCCGTCCTCCCTGGACTGACCTATCCCCTTCCTAACTCCCTACCTACACTCACCTTTCCTGGCTCCATCCCCGCCTCTTCGACCTGTTTGTTTCCTCTCCACCTATCCTCTCCTCTATCCCTCTTCTATCCGCCTCCCACTCTCTCCCTATTTATTTCAAAACCCCCTTCCCCTCCCCCTTTTCTGATGAAGGGTCTAGGCCCGAAACGTCAGCCTCTCTGCTCCTATGATGCTGCTTGGCCTGCTGTGTTCATCCAGCCCTGCACCTTGTTGTCTCGGATTCTCCAGCATCTGCAGTTCCTACTTAGCTGAAATGAGGTTCATTTGTTATATTCTTGCATCTGGCTTTATTGTTTTTCTGAGGTAGATAAACTGCAGGTGAATCTTTCATTCCAATATCTGAAACTTCCAGAGCAATGTAAATCAAAAAAATATATAGGGAACTGAGTGCCTGGTTTCAATCATTTTAATTATGTGTTAATTTCAATTCAGACAGGATCTAGTTTATTGATGGTTTTGTAAAGCCTGGATCAACCTGCTCAGGTGATCACTGTGGTCATCTTAAATTAGTGTTTTTCCTTTTTAGTTATAAACAGTGTCCATGAAAGGTCTCAGGTATTAAAACCAGATAATGAAAGTCAAAATTGATAGTCCATTTTTACCACTGTCGTAACATGTCCCCACCATAAGAAAGGAACACAAACAATATTTTTCCTTTTCTTTATGGTGAGTGTTTCCTATGAAGTCAGCATGAAACATTAAAAATTGGAAGGACAATACACACTCGACATTCACTCTTTTCATCCTAACCTGTGTCCTGAAACTTCCGTCTTAACAATACAGTCTGCAACCATTCACCCCAAGGATTGCAGCTTTTCAAGAATTCAGCACAATTCCACTTTCTCCAGGGCTTATCATAATCAACAATAAATGCTGATCTAGCCAACAAGTATTACTTACTTTGAATGAATCAAAAAAAAGTTCTGTTTCAGAAATAGATGATGGACTTGTTCCCTGGGCTATGTTACATTTTTGAATTATAGCCCTTCACTGACCAGCTTAATAATCTATGTACCAGATTCAGTCACTTGTGCAAATTTAATTTCAAGGTCACCAATTTATGATGATAATATGAAGTTTATCTCCATAGGGTACTGGGATCTGCATCCTACACCTCACCCGCATTAATCATTATATCAATTCAATGGGAATGATTGAAAATTGAAACTTGGTTTTGTTCATTTGAACTCCCTGTGGGTAATTTTATTTCTACCACACCATGATTCCCCTGGTGATATCTGTAGTAATTGTAAAGAGGTCAGCCAGATGGACCTCAGAATATTCCTGGTATATAGAAAGAATGTACTATTTCTACTGGGTAAATGACATTGGGGCAGATGAAAAGCAATGACTAATTCTCCAGACAGCTTGTGGTTCTGCAGCTGTTTTTGGTTATAAGGAGCCGAACTTTCCCTGAGGCACCAAATTCTAAAACCTTTCAAGAGTTGACTGATTTAGTTAAGGAATATTATGAGCCCAAGCTTCCTCTAATTCGGAGATGCTCAGTTTTAGTCAGCAAATGAGAACCAGGGGAATATATATCTGGATTTTTGACTAGGTTAAGATGACTGACAGAAACATGTGACTTTAGTTTAACCCTTAGTAAGATGCTGAGACCGTTTGGTATGTGGGATTAATGATGTAACCATGGAAAAGCACCTATTAACTGAAGCTCAACTGGACTGCAAACAGGCGGAACAACTTGCATTATCATTGGAAAATGCAGCAAGTGGAGCATACGAGTTTTTTCTATTTTCCAAAGGAAGTGGACACACTTGCTAGTCCGACTGAGCTTGGGGAAAACCATTTGAGTGAAGGCAATTGCATAGCCACACTCCAGAAATATCCTGAACAACAGGATTCAAGGTCAGCCCATAGCAAAACCCCAAAACAAAGCCGAACCTTGGCTAAACAGTTAAAATTTTGTTCAGGATCCAGGTTGGCAAACCATTGTAGATGCTGCCAATTTGCAGACGAGATATAGCAGAAGAGTCTCACCAGATCTAAACTGACTAAAAGAACTCATAGGCTGATATCCAGGAGAGTGCATACCCTGGAAACTCCAACAACAGCGTTTAGGATGTTTTGATTTATTTGGGAATGTATACTGATATTTGAGCCCACGTCTTTTGGGGCAACACAAACTTAAAGATTTAATTAGATTACTCAAAATCCCCAATTTATCTGTTTGACTAACTCAGGTTAATAGAATGCACCAACCAGATTTCTGTACTTAATAAGGAACTACTTTTTATTGCAAGTAAGTCAGTTCTAACCACAGGCAAACAAAATATAACTTATCAACTTCTAACTCTTTAGCTTAAACTCTACCCCATCTTAAATGGTGACATGCACATGCAGACAGACACAAACAACAAAAAAAAGTTATAGTTGGAGGATAAGAAAAAGGGCAACTGTTTCAATAGCACCAATACACAGGATTCAAAGTCTGCTTTTGCTTCTTCTGGATTCTTCTCATCTTCATTGGACTACTTCCTTCCAAGTCCTTTCTTTACTGAGGACAAAGGGCAGCTGGCACACTAATTGTTCAATCTCTCAGTCACTGGTTAGAGACAGCAGTTTACAGAAACTGGTGATAGAGAAGAACTCACTATTTTCCAAATCATACTTACTTTTCTACCAGGAGAGGCTTTCTGTTGCTGTTATTCACATCCTCCTGCACAGGAGCCAATCAGAGAGCTGTTCTCATGCTGATCTCTAATCACCTACACAATTGGTCTCTGGGTAAAACTGCTATGAATACACACCCACAGAATTAATGAACCCATTACTCCTTCCCCACTGCTTGACCAAAACATAACTCAGAATGAAATGGATTTTAAACTGCAACAATTTCTTCCATAGTTTCCTTGGTTTAGAGCCGTATTATTTTCCCAATTTAGTTCACAGTCCAAAAACAAGGAAGGGTCCCGACCCGAAACGTCAACTTTCCTGCTCCTCTGATGCTGCCTGGCCTGCTGTGTTCATCCAACTCTACACTGTGTTTTCTCTTGAAAAATAAAATGATGTTGTCTCTACAAGGAATTATGTTTTTTCAGTTTGTAGAAATCATGTATTCCTGTACATGGTTGTGAGCTAATAAGCAACACTCAAGGTAAAAGAAAGGAATGGTGAGAAACAATATCAAACTTAATTTGATCACGCTGAAATTCTATATTATATTTGACTCCATTGTGTGACCTGTCCAAACCGCCATTAGCAGAAAAACAGAATAAGTCATATTAGCATTAAACACATCATATAATCACAACTGTGGGAAAACAGGAAGCTGGCCCATGTGTAACAACAGGAATTGTGAATAATCATGGAAGAGTACATGTACACTCGAACAAAGAACAGTACAGCACAGGAACAAGCCCTTTGGCTCTCCAACCCTGCGCTGACACATTTTGCCCTTCCAAATTAAACTGTCTTCACTTACAGGATCCATATCCATCTATTCCCTTCCTATTCATGTATTCGTCCAGGTGCTTGTTGAATGCTGCTATTGTGTTTGCTTCCACCACCTCCTCTGGCAGTGCATTCCAGGCACTCACCACCCTTTGTGCGAAAAATGTGTCTCGCAAGTCACTTTTAAACCTCTCCCCTCCTGCACCTTGAACCTGTGTCCCCTAGTAATTGACCCCACCACCCTGGGAAAAAGCCTTATACTTTTCAATCTATCCATGACATTCACAATCTTATAAACTTCTATCAGGTTGCCCCTCAACCTCCTACATTCCAGTGAAAACAAAACCAGTCTATTTTTCTTCATTGCTAAAATCCCCCATACTAGGCAACACCCTGGTAAACCTTTTCTGTACCCTCTCCAAAGCATCCACATCCTTCTGGTAGTGTGGTGACCAGAACTGTACACAATATTCTGAGTGCGGTCTAACTAAAGTTCTATAAAGCTGCACCATAACTTGTCTATCCTTATACTCAGTGCCCCTTCCAATGAAGGCAAGCATGCCAGGGCCTTTTTTACT